TGAGACATCTAGATAGGCTTATGTGTAGTGCTGGGGCGGAGCCGGTGGTCGTGATACATGTAGGTACCAATGACATAGGGAAGGATCGAAGCGAGGTCCTGGAGGCCAAATTTAGGCTGCTAGGTAAGAGATTGAAGTCCAGGACCTCCATGGTAGCATTCTCTGAGATGCTCCCAGTTCCACGCTCAGGGCCAGTTAGAAAGGCAGAACTACAGAGTCTCAATGCGTGGATGAGACGATGGTGTAGGAGGGGTTTAGATTTATTAGGAACTGGGGAAACTTTTGGGAAAGGGGGAGCCTATACAGGAAGGATGAGCTCCACCTAAACCAAAATGAAACTGGATTGCTGGCACTTAACATTAAAAAGGTTGTAGAACAGTTTTTAAACTAAGGGCTGGGGGAAAGCCGACAGGTGTGGAGGAACACGTGGTTCGGATATCCCTTAGGGGAGGATCTATTCATAGAGAATCTCTCTGTCCTAGTGAGGACGAGAGGATGGAAAATGATAAAATACAGGCAGGGTCTGATCAGAGAAAGTCAAATTAAAAAAAAGAGTCCCATTCAATTACATCGTGTAATGGCAGACAGCTAAAAGGAGACAAGTTTTTAAAGTGCTTATATACCAATGCTAGAAGTCCAAATAATAAAATGGGTGAACTAGAGTGCCTTGTATTAAATGAGGATATTGATATAATAGGCATCACAGAAACTTGGTGGAATGAGGATAATCAATGGATTACAGTAATACCAGGGTACAAAACATATTGGAAGGACAGAACAGGTCGTGCTGGTGAGGGAGTGGCATTATATGTGAAAGAAAGCATAGAATCAAATGAAGTAAAAATCGTAAATGAATCAAACTGTACCATAGAATCTCTATGGACAGAAATTCCATGCTCTGATAAGAAGAATATAGCGGTAAGGAATATATTACCGACCACCTGACCAGGATGGTGATAGTGACTGTGAAATGCTCAGGGAGATTAGAGGTGCTATTAAAATAAAAAACTCAATAATAATAATGGGGGATTTCAATTATCCCCATATTGACTGGGTACATGTCACCTCAGGACAGGATGCAGAGATAAAGTTTCTTGACACCTTAAATGACTGCTTCTTGGAGCAACTGGTCCTGGAGCCCACCAGAGGAGAGGCAATTCTTGATTTAGTCCTAAGTGGAGCACAGGATCTGGTCCAAGAGGTGAATATCTGGACCGCTTGGTAATAGTGACCATAATATAATTAAATTTAATATCCCTGTGGCAGGAAAAACACCACAGTGGCCCAACACTGTAGCATTTAATTTCAGAAAGGGGAATTACACAAAAATGAGGAGGTTAGTTAAACAGATATTAAAGGGTACAGTGCCGAAAGTGAAATCTCTGCAAGCTGCGTGGAAATTTTTTAAAGACACCATAATAGAGACTCAACTTAAATGTATACCCCAATTTAAAAAACATAGTAAGAGAACCAAAAAAGAGCCACTGTGGCTAAACAACAAAGTAAAAGAAGCAGTGAGAGGCAAAAAGGCATCCTTTAAAAAGTGGAAGTTAAATCTTAGTGAGGAAAATAGAAAGGAGCATAAACACTGGCAAATGAAGTGTAAAAATACAATTAGAAAGGCTAAAAAAGAATTTGAGGAACAATTAGCCAAAGACTCAAAAAGTAATAGCAACATTTCTTTTAAATACATCAGAAGCTGGGAGCCGGCTAAACAACCAGTGGGGTCACTGGACGATTGAAGTGCTAAAGGAGCACTCAAGGATGATAAGGCCATTGCATCGGTCTTCATGGCTGAGGATGTGAGGGAGATTCCCAAACCTGAGCCATTCTTTTTAGATGACAGATCTGAGGAATTGTCCCAGATTGAGGTGTCATTAGAGGTGGTTTTGGAACAAATTGATAAATTAAACAGCAATAAGTCACCAGGACCAGATGGTATTCACCCAAGAGTTCTGAAGGAATTCAAATGTGAAATCACAGACCTACTAACTGTAGTCTGTAACCTATCATTTAAATCAGCTTCTGTACCAGATGACTGAAGGATAGCTAATGTGACACCAATTTTTAAAAAGGGCTCCAGAGGTGATCCTAGCAATTACAGGCCTGTAAGCCTGACTTCATTACCAGGCAAACTGGTTGAAACTATAATAAAGAACAATATTGTCAGACATATAGATGAACATAATTTGTTGAGGAAGAATCAAAATGGTTTTCGTGAAAGGAAATCATGCCTCAGCAATCTACTAGAATTCTTGGAGGGGGTCAACAAACATGTGGACCAAGGGGATCCAGTGGATATAGTGTACTTAGATTTTCAAAAAGCCTTAGACAAGGTCCCTCACCAAAGGCTCTTATGCAAAGTAAGCTGCCACAGGATAAGAGGGATGGTGCTCTTGTGGATTGGTAACTGGTTAAAAGATAGGAAACAAAGGGTAGGTATAAATGGTCAGTTTTCAGAGTGGAGAGAGGTAAATAGTGGTGTCTCTCAGGGGTCTGTTCTGGGACCAGTCCTATTCAACATATTCATAAATGATCTGGAAAAAGGGGTAAACAGTGAGGTGGCACAATTTGCATATGATACAAAATTACTAAAGATAGTTAAGACCCAGGCAGACTGCGAAGAGCTACAAAAGGATCTCTCAAAACTGGGTGACTGGGAAACAAAATGGCAGATGAAATTTAATGTTGATAAATGCAAAGTAATGCACATTGGAAAGCATAATCCCAACTATACATATAAAATGATGAGGTCTAAATTAGCTATTACCACTCAAGAAAGATCTTGGAGTCATTGTGGATGGTTCTCTGAAAACATCCACTCAACGTGCAGCAGAAGTCAAAAAGCGAACAGAATGATGGGAATAATTAAGAAAAGGATAGATAATAGGACAGAAAATATCATGTTGCCTCTATATAAATCGATGGTATGCCCACATCTTGAATACTGTGTGCAGATGTGGTTGCCCCATCTCAAAAAAGATATATTGGAATTGGAAAAGGTTCAGAAAAGGGCAACCAAAATGATTAGGGGTATGGAACGGCTTCTGTATGAGGAGAGATTAATAAGACTGGAACTTTTCAGCTTGGAAAAGAGACGGCTAAGGGGAGATATGATTGAGGCCTATAAAATCATGACTGGTATAGAGAAAGTAGATAAGGAAGTGTTTACTACTTCTCATAACACAAGAACTAGGGGTCACCAAATGAAATTAATAGGCAGCAGGTTTAAAACAAATAAAAAGAAGTATCTCTTCACACAATGCACAGTCATCCTGTGGAACTCTTTGCCAGAGGACGTTGTGAAGGCCAAGACCATAACAGGGTTCAAAAAGAACTAGATAAATTCATGGGGGATAGGTCCATCAATGGCTATTAGCCAGGATGGGCAGGAATGGTGTCCCTAGCCCCTGTTTGCCAGAACCTGGGAATCAGCGACAGGGGATGGATCACGTGATGATTACCTGTTCTGTTCATTCCCTCTGGGGCAACTGGCACTGGCCACTGTTGGAAGACAGGATACTGGGCTAGATGGACCCTTGGTCTGACCCAATAGGGTCATTCTTATACAAGCCTGTGAACTGTCAGCTGCTTATAAGCAGATAAGTTGAAAGTGTGCGTTTCACACTTTTAAGATAACAATATCTTAAACATATTTCTGTTTACTAATATGCAGGTCCAGAACATACAAGATATCATTACATACATGTTTTACCACTAGTAGGCTGAGAAGTTGCACAGCTGAAATTGCACACTAGAAATCACTGATTTAAGTATGTTTTCTTCATTTAGGTTCAAATACTCTCACCTGCAGAGAATTCACGCTCATTTTCTTTATGCAGTGGTTCTTTGTGTGATACAGAACATACCTCTCCTAGAATTGGAGGATCTTCTGTGACAGTTCTGACCCCAACACAGAGCAAAGGTTGGCTGGTATATCCACTAGCCGTATGCTTCCCCTAATCCACATTTGGCGTGGAATCTGGCCCGCAATGGGTGAACTCAATGAGTGTTATGCCATTGATTTGACTGCAGCTAGGATTTCACCCCTGGTTTTCTGTCTTGCAGGCCATACTGCCAGTCACTCTTCTTTCATGGCTGGTAGAAACTTGGGAAATTTCACGTTTTTCCACTCATATGAAAATGTACCACTGACACATACTAATTGGGCAAAAAAGAATTTCCCAATATTATTAGACTACAAGTCAAAAATAATAGCAGTAATAATCATAAAAGTTTTTAAAATACTACCTATCAAATCCCCTAATGCTCCAAGTGAGCTACATCATCATGAAAAGGAATTAAAATAGAGAAATATTATTTAGAAAACCCTTAAAATTCAAATAGATAATGCTTCTGAGGGTTAAAAAACACAAAGTTATCACCTACAGTCAGAATAGTATAAATGTAAAGCCATCTTCCATGGGCCAAAAATGAAAGCTTTTCAAATGAAGCTGCCTTGAAATGCAGATTGTATATTACTACACAATTTCAGGTACATGTATTCATGATTGCTTCTGGCAAAAACAGTATCTCATAAAAACTTGAACATAGTTATCCAATTTAAAAAAAATAAAGCAGATTAGACATCAGTCTCAATCACATTCCAAAAACATTTAAACAAAACTGACCATTAGAAACAAAGGAAAGAATGTTAAAGATACGCTGTAAACCTGTCTGCTCTAAAAACACCCACTGAAATATCATCTCTGATGTTTCACATACTACTGGTTGTATCTAGTAGTAAAAACCTTTACTGTAAGAAACTTTCAAAGAAAAAAAAAAGGTAAAATAAATTTTAAGCTATTTGTCACAGAGAATCTGAACTTTGGAACTCTCAATTTCCTTTAACAAAACATTTTTGTACTTGGTCATAATTATGATTTCTCATACCATGAAAGATCCAGCTAAGTCTAATGAAACTAGATGAAGGCACATTCACTTTAGCTACCCAGCCATAGATCTAAGTTTAACGTAGAAGAGGTAATGACAAGACAAACCTGCTGTTTTAGAACTGCAATGGTCTCATCAACTTCGGCAGCAAAATGGCTGAATTCCTGAGCAAATCCACTGGATACTATGTCAGTGAGATGTGTTGCACTAGCTGCCTTTCTATGCTTGTGCAAATCTCCCTGGTGTCTGAAATACAAGTTAAATTTACCACCAGAAAATGGAAAATAACAATCTGAAGAAAAGGTTTCACATGGGCATTATAGGATTTATGCTGAAAATTAACAGAACTTTGGAAAAAATAATCTGAAATGGCATTGTGCTTTTGGCATTTTATCTCACGAGTTGAAAACTTTTTTGAAATATAAAATGAATGTCATGTTACATTACAGATGCATTGCTACATTAGTCAGACCTCAAAAGTAATTTTTTTTCTGAAAAGCTCCCTCCACACCAACAACCCCTTGACAAATGAAATGTCAGACATTATGCAATGCATAGGTGGGAAAGGTGCTATCTGTATTATCTATTCGTGACAAGAACTACATTAAGAAAGTAATAAGCATAGCTGTCAAAAAAAAAATCACACCTCTAAAGCAAGACAAGTGTAAAGTAAGCCAATCCTACTGAACACAATGAGAAGAACAACAACAAAAACGGTTTAAGTTAGGGCCTCTCTTCACTACCGTGCTAAATCGCCACCGCTGCCATTGATGTAGTGGCGCCAATTTAGCAAATCTGGTGAAGACACATTACAAAGAGCTCGGCTTGTTTAGCCTAACCAAAAGAAGGCTGAGGGGAGATATGATTGCCCTCTATAAATACATCAGAGGGATAAATACCAGGGAGGGATAGGAATTATTTAAGCTCAGTACCAATGTGGAAACAAGAACAAATGGATATAAACTGGCCATCAGGAAATTTAGACTTGAAATTAGAAGAAGGTTTCTAACCATCAGAGGAGTGAAGTTCTGGAACAGTCTGCCAAAGGGAGTAGTGGAGGCAAAAGACATATCTGGCTTCAAGACTAAGTTTGATAAGTTTATGGAGGGGATGGTATGATGGGATAGTCTAATTTTGGCAATTAATTGATCTTTGACTATTAGCGGTAAATATGCCCAATGGCTTGTGGTGGGATGTTAGATGGGGTGGGATCTGAGTTACTACGGAGAATTCTTTCCTGGGTGTCTGGCTGGTGAGTCTTGCCCACATGCTCAGGGTTTAGCTGATCGCCATATTTGGGGGCAGATTGGCAGAGGCCGGGGGTTTTTTTTGCCTTCCTCTGTAGCGTGGGGCATGGGTCACTTGCTGGAGGATTCGCTGCACCTTGAAGTCTTTAAACCATGATTTGAGGACTTCAATGGCTCAGATATAGGTTAGGGGTTTGTGGGTGAGATTCTGTGGCTTGCGTTGTGCAAGAGGTCAGACTAGATGATCATAATGGTCCCTTCTGACCTTAAAGTCTATGATTCTATGATTGATGGGAGAGCGCTAGCCCATCGACTTAATTACTCCACATCAATGAGAGGCAGAAGCTATGTGAAAGGGAGAGCATCTCCCACCAACATAGCGTGGTGTAGACATCGCTTTAAGTCAATATATGTTACGTTGCTTGGGGTGGTGGTTTTTTCATACAGTAAAATGAAGCGTCATCCTTCCTTTGTTTTATCTGTATCAGCAAAAGCTGTCCATCTGCTGATTCACTTTGAGCTGTCCAATACGTTTCATCCAAAATATAATTTGGGCTAGACATAGGTCCTTAAAAGCATTACAAACAACAGGCAGGATCCTCAGCTGATATAAATCAATGTTGCTCCTTTGAAACAGTTGACTTCAGTGGAGGCAGGGTAATTTATACCAGCTGAGGGGCTAGCTCTTTATATTCATAGGCTACTACATTATAGTTCCAGTTATACATAAGGCAACTATTCTAGAAAAGCACTTGACAAAAGTCAACAGCTGTCTTGAAAAGGTATGGAATATTTTTATACTGAGTGTGAGCTATGTGAATCGATAACGGGTATCTAAAACAGAGGATCTGTGTGAGAGGAAATACTATCATATGAAAGGAAATAAATAGCAGGATTCAGTAGTAAGACTGATTCGGTTAATTTTATAAAATATGGGCGTGACCTGAAATTCATCATGATGAAAAAAAAAAACTCTGTGGAAGTTACTGAAAATGACAAACAGAAAAGTGGGGACAGTGAACTCTAACAAAACGTCAATAGCATTCAAAATTACTTGGCGAATTTAGGAGAATGGAGAGTTACTGATGGTGGCCTAAGCAATTCAATGTAGAAAAACTGCTGGTATTGTAATGAGGCTATTGAAAGAAACATGAAACTGATGCCCCCTCAAGAATCACAGACATTGCAAAATACTCGTGTAGTAAGGATAGGTGGGTAAAAGTCCAAGCTTAGGAGAGAAAAAATAAACGAATATACCAGGATGTATAAACAAAAGCAACGAATGAATTTAGCTATTGGAGAAAATTACCCATGTATGAGAGATTGGTGAGGCTATATTCAGAAAACTTGTAGGCCGTTCATGAAAGAGAAGTCTAGAAATGGAGAACATGCAAAAGAAGGGAAACTATAATGAACTGAAAATATTGGGTGCGCCACTGAATTATTTTTAAACAAAAGTTTAAGAAGCCTATGGATTAAATTCTGCTACCAGTTACAGCTGTGCAACCCCAATGAGAATACAATCTGGCTGGTGGCCTGTATTTTCTGAAAAAGGAAGGAATTGAGAGGGGATCTCAGGGACTTCTGAGGACAGAAATGATAGATGTTATATATCACTGTCACAGGGAGACTGGCCCCTTTAAGAGTGAGCAGGGCCCAAGTGCACCTGTGATTGATTACCTGCTACTCAACTGGGCTTCAGAGAAGGCACCTGGGCCTTATAAAGGGGAAGCTGCTGGTAAATAGCTGCTAGAAGAAGCTACTGAGACAGAGAGAGAGAGAGAGAGAGAGAGAGAGAGAAAATCCAAAGTACATTCCCTAGAAGGAGGGCTGTGAAATCCTGGACTTCAAGGAGAGTTTGCTGCCTGGGGAAGCCAGGATTTGAAGCTCACAGCCTCAAGCAGGAGGGCCATGAAACCCCTGAAATCAAGGGTTAAGGGACAAAAGGGTTTTTGGGGGGAGCCAGGCAGTGTTTAATAAATTACAGCTCAAGAGAGGGGGATTCTTATTTTATGGACCCTGGGTGTAAATAAGTTATTTTTGAAGCCTCAGAGGAAAACTGAGGCAGGGTGCCAGGCCAAACACAGGGCACCTTGTACTGGAACCTGGTGACAGTCACATTATTTGAACTAGTGTGAAATACAAACAACAAGAGGGAATTAAGATGACCCAAGGAAGGAAATTTAGGATGAAGAGCTTTACAGAGAGAATTGAGAGTGGAAGCAGTAAAGGATGAAGGCACACTTAACTGCTGGAGGTGCTGTCTCCTAGAAGAGATGTAAAACCGAGATTCTGACCATTTATGGTCATAAAAGAGCCACTGACACTTTTTGCAAAAGTAGGGCTGATAGTCCCAGTATCCTGAATATTTACATTATGCTTATGTTGAAATTATTCCCAACGTTTCTATTTTAAAATCAGTATTATTTCTTTATTTTAACCATATATTTACAAAACACTAAACTCGACAAATGAACATTACCTACATAAATGCAAACCCAAACATTCAGTTCTTTCACCATCAGCCTCCATCTCTCTATATTCAGTCAGGCATAAATTATTGTCCTGATCATTAAAGTCCACCCATTGAGAAACAAAAGTATGGACTAAAGAAGAAAAAAATAGCATTTCAAATACTACAAGGCAATCTCAGCGCAAGTAATCATAATTCCTCTAAACCAATACTGAATTAACTCACAAAAGGTAGTGTATTATATCAGCTACAGACAAAAACAAGGAAAATATATTTTCCCAAACCACAAAAAATCATGATATATCAAAAACACCCCTTTCCTTGGCATCTCCCATTGGGTATTATAATAATCAGAATGAGTCTCTTGAGGTTTGAAATTTCCACAGTGACAATGTTCAGTAGCCCTTAAATGACAGTATAGTACAAAATAGCTAGTAAAACACCCATGCCTATGAATGAAAACTCAAAGCCATTGTCAGTGGTAAAAACTCAACATCATCCTTCGAATCAGCAAACCCCTAACATCTTTCAAAGTAACATTTTTCATTATCTGATTCCCATATGATTTGACTTTGATTTTGCAAATTTCTAAATATTTTCTTTTAATATTGTTTTTCATTAGCAGGAATGATTATTTTAAACTCTTGAGTGTAATTCATCTGGTTTAAGCATGTTTCTTTCCAGGTTTATCTAGCACAAAAAAAGTTCTCTCCTAATGGACACTAAATAATACAACAACAACAACAAAACAACAACAACAACATAGCTAGCTCCTATACAATGCCCTTCATCAGTAGCCTCCAAAGCACTTTAAAGATGGTGGGACATTAAATAAGTTTAATAGCCAGGTAACTTCTTAGCTTCTATCAATACTTATAAACACCACATTTTACTGTTTGCTGCTAATTGAATGAAAGGGAATTTTAACACTTAATCAGATTAAAATCAACTAACCTTTGCTATGTTCAAATCAATTTTGTGAGCCACCTAAAGTAATTAGACTATTTTTAAATGTAAAAATGGCTTAATAATGATAGGAATAATCAAAAGTCAGCAACAGTGTTAGATTGGAATATCAGCATCTAAGGTCCATCGTAATTCACCTCAAGTGGAAAATGACAGACAAATTGTATTCAGATATAAAGAAAACTAAAACATTCAAAAGATCTCTTTTTCTCACACACAATTTCTGCATATAAAAGATTAATAAACAAAGAGCTTTTGAAGACTAAGTAGTAACCAAAATCTTTCATGTACAAACTTTTCATGCTCATCCTGAAGGTGGCTAGTTCATAAACACATACCTGCTTCTTGTACTGGTCTCCTCACCCCTTTTGTGCTTCTCTTTGGGATAACTGTATTCAGCAGACCGTTTGCTCCTAAAGTGGTGTGACAGAGCCCCAAACTGTCCCCTTGTCCTACAGTCTGTGAACACAATAATTCATACTAGTATTATTTCAGAAATAAGATTTTCACAGAAAAAATGCACAAAAGTTGTAGTATCAAGTTGCTTTTGTGTGACTTATATAAGCTTCAATCCAGCAAAACACTTAAGCACATGCTTAACTTACAGCATGTGCTTAAGTTCCATTTAAATCAATGGGTTTTAAACCTGTGCCTAAAATTAAACATAAGTTTAAGCACTTTGCTGAATAAGGGCCAGACGCATTTGTATTTTATTCACCTACTTTTATTGTACTTTTAATCTTCAACAGTGGAAAAAACAGATGGGCAAAACTATTCCAAAATTCATTCTTAAAGACTACTCGTATCAAGATATGCTATTGCTATATGCAACATACAGTATTTTTTGGGGGGGGAGGACTTTTATTTATTGATTTTTTTTTCATAAGAAGACATTACAATTACATTGTTTTGACTTGTAAAGGTATGTATCTTACTACAGAATTAACAATTTTAAGCAACATATAGCATATTATTGCATCATTCACATTTCTCTCTCTTTTTCAAAATTATTTAATCACAACGTGAATACGGTGCATGTTACACACACACACACACACACACACACACACCCCATTCATAGTAATTATTTTGGGGAAGCTGAGTGCTTTCTTGGTGTGTTTAGCAAGATGAAAGCCTTTTCTGCATCTATAATTAGAATGTAGCCCTCTTTTTTAGCACTCTTAGAATGCAGTACCACATATTGGATTTTTCTTATGTTATTTAAGGGGCTTCTACCTTTTATAAAGGAAGTTTGGCTCTGGTACCCTAATTTAAACATTATTGTCTCTAATATGGATGTTAGTAAGATTTTGATTAAAATACTATCTATATTTCTTAATAAGATAGCTAACACAGCTCAGAGATTGCAAGACCAGAAGGGACCACTGTGCTCAGCTAGTCTGACCTCCGGCATAGCATGGGCCATAGAACGTCCCCAAAATAATTCCTAGTGCATATTTTTGGAAAAACATCCAGCCTTGATTTACTTAATGTACAGTAATATACAGTGGTCTTCTACTCGTGCATGTATGCTATAACATTATCAAAGGCTATGTCTACACTTAAACCACTACAGAGACACAGCTGCAGCTGTGCTGCTGTAGCTAGCACTTCAGCGTAGACACTCACTACAGCGTTGGGAGGGATTCTCCCATGGCTGTAGTTCATCTACCTCCCCCAGGGGTGGTAGCTAGGTCAACAGAAGAATTCTTGTATCTTGAATTCATCCATCGACCTAGCGCTGTTTACACCAGGGGCAAGGTTGGCATAGCTACATCTCTCAGGCATGTGGATGTTTCACACCCCCGAGAGACGTATGCTGATGTCAGTTTTCAGTGTCGTCCAGCCCTAAAACCACACCACAGAAAAGAAGAACATTCCATAGAAAGGTGCTAATCGCTTACATTTTTCAGGTGGCAACATTACAGAGGCTAAAATCAATATCAACTAATTTTATTATTCAGATTGCTCAGTTTGTACATTTAATTATCTCATTGATTTTTGTGATTTTTTCTCACTAATAATTACATACTGTGTGTATAATAGAAATGGAATATGTGCGTGTGTTTGAAGCTACTGATTGATAGGTAACTTAGGATCTTTTTCTAGCATTCAAAATACAGGCCATAAGGAGCAAACGGTTTGTAAGAAGCCCAAGATTATCTGGATCAGCTCTGTTTGAGTTGGCTGACAAACCAAACCTTAACATTGAGGAGCTGGCAGACAAAGGCTAAAATTTTCAAATGGACCTCTAAAATTGTGACTGCTATTTTGCTAGTATAACTATTGCACACTTTTTTTTAAAAGTGTGCAAACAGAAATATTAGATGCAGACCAATGCCTGGGGGGAGGGGGGGGAGAAACACATGTATGAGCACAAGATGTGCAGGTGCCATTTTAGAAATCTCATTGAAAATTTGGCCTATAATACCTGTGTAAGAATCTATGAATTGCAACAGTCATCACCACATTGAAATGTCAACTCAGAAGATCCTATATTCTGAAGTCTTTCCCCAGACCGTAGGCACTGTAGCAGGGGATTTTACTGTAGCATACAGGTCTGTCGCATCTTACGCTGGGGTTACGTTCCACAGTCAGCGCGTAAAGCGAAAATCGCGTATAGTCAAAATTACATTGAGTGTAATGGCGGGCAGAATCGCCTGCTCTACAGGTACAGTATAAAATTGTTGTTTTTCTCTCTTTTTTTTTTTTTGCCGGCTGCGTAAAGCTGAAATCGCGTATGTTAAATGCGCGTAAGATGTGACAGACCTGTATTTCCTTGTGCTGCTAACCCTTTCCTACTGCCTACACTTGAAGAAATGACAATGATAATTACCCATAATTCTTCCTTGAAAAAAATAAAAGTACAAACAGAACTAAAGCCTTTAACTGCAGAATCCAACTCATGCTATTCTGAGGTCACAACACATTGTTTTTCATGTTTTAATCAAAGAGCCAATCAAAATATATATTATAAATATAATATAAAAGATGAAGACATGGTTTAGAAAACAAAAGGATAAAACATATAAAGGAAAGCCTTGAAAACCAAGGAGAAAAGAATTTTTAATAAGAACTGTGACGCTCCCCAGAGGTGAGAGGCACCTCACCACTACCTGCCTTTAGCATGAAACAGCTTTGTTTGTGCCTGCCGTAGTTCAGCTCCCTGAAACCAACACGAGCACTGCCTTCCAGGTCTCCGCAGACCTTCCTCTCTGTAAGGAAGAACTCTGTGTAGCTGAAAAGCTTCTCTCTCTCTCTCACCAACAGAAGCTGGTCCAATAAAAAATATTACCTCACCCACCTTGTCTGTCTAGGCTAGTGAGAGATACACACCAACCTCTGTCTGCCCCTTGAAGCGTTCCCCTGAGGTGCACAGCCCTTAACCACTGGACACACTGAGAAATTACCAGGTTAGCTGTCCCCAAGGGAGCAGTATTGACATAGCTTGATTGGTACTACGCAGGATCAGCTGTTTATAAGACTGAAATATATTTCTAGTGAGACACTGATATCAAAGATTAAGATTTAAAAGATACTGAGTAAGGATAATGGAAACAGAAGTGGTTACATATGAAACAAAAAGCATAACACACTTCTTAGAGTCTAAACTTAAGCTTTAACAGGCTAAAATCCTTGCCTAAGTAATTTCTCACCTAAAGCAATCTCCCAGCGTCACCAACCAACAAGACTGGGATCTAACTCTCATGAACACAAAAAGTGCTGTACTTTTTGTTTTCTCAGTGAAGGTTCACAAAGTGTCCTTTTGCTTCTCCTTAGATTTCCCAGAACTCATTGTTTTGCCCCCCCCCCCCCTACCCCGAGTCAGGATGACCACCTATGGTTTAGGCTCCAGTGACTTGTCACTTGTTGACTCTATATGCAAAACAGGCTTCCATTGTGTTATCTTATATGCTTAATTTACATATTAACCTAGACAGACGGGGAATCTACATCTCTTTGTCTGGCAAAACATGTTTGACAACCCAGCCTCACAGATTGGGACACAGACTCAGTTCATATACATAATTCCTTAAATATGATCAGTAAATACATCTCACAGCAATCGTGAGGGCTCAGTATGGCATATGCTTTTTATTATTAGACATTTCACACAACCCTTTCTGAATAAATGCTATGAAAGCAGCATGTTACGTGTAATGAATTTTTCAGGCCTGATAGGAGTTGCTGTTACAGAACAATGAACCCTTAATCAGTTGTCATTAAGAGGTTCTTAGAGTCACAGGAACTTCATATGAAAATTTTTGTTTCATGAAGATGTTCCTGTAAAGGGCAAAATGTCACATCCAAAAATGTTTTCATGCAGTCAAAATCCGAGAAAATAGATGTGGCGCCATCAAAAGGGACTCTGAATTTAGCTGGCTGTATAGATGTAAATGCACCCTCCTCTGTACCTTATCTTTGGAGAATCAGATAATTTTATCTGTTTGAATGGCTTCAATTATGTTTACGCTAATGACTCTCAAATATACCTCTCCTTTCTACATCTGTCTCATCTGACAATTAAAATCGTGGTCTGTCTTGTTTAATAGCCCACTTAAACTCAACATGGCCAAAGCTGACGTTTTGATTTTCCCCCTAGAAGCACCTTCTTTCTCCCCTCACCATCAATATCACTGTGGCATCACAACCAGCCACCCAGGTATGTAATCTGGGTAACATTACTTACGTGGTCCTTTCCCTAAACCACCAAATCTTTCATGCAGGGCCTCCTTGTCTTACATCTTGTCTGGCACTGAAGATTCCAGCCTGCTGTAAATTTTTTCATAAGTTCATTCATAATGCTGCTGCTAATCTCATTTTCCGAACTTTGACCAAATCTTTCTATCACTCTGCTGACATACCCTTCTGCAGTGGATCAACTGTAATTTATTTTCTTCACCTTTCAGGCCAGTCACAATTTATTCCTGTCCAATCTAGCCGCTCTATAAGCTTGTTGGAACAGCAACTGCCTCCTTTGCTCCAGCAACGTACCCAGGGCTAGATTTTCTGCTCTGCCAGGTTCATTAAGTACCATGGCAGGAAATATTCAGAGGCAGAATATTCATGCACATAAGTTAAAGCTGCACTGGGCACCTTTAACTTGTTCTGGTCTGGACCATGGAGAATCAGGGAGCCTTGATCGGGTGTCAGTTCCTCTCTCACTGGTCAGGCAGAGTGGAGAATCAAGCCTCCAGCCAGGGGTGAAAGTAACTTAAATGACTTACCAGTACGCAGGGTGGCTGGGGTCCTGGGCAAGGTGGGGGGGAGGGGTGGCTGTGGGTCTTGGGTGGAAGCAGGGGGTCTCGTGCAGAAGGGGCGGAGCTGGGGCCAAAATCCCCCAGCCAGCCCTTCAGTGCTGCCCAGCCCGCACTGCCTGGGGCTTTGGTGGATATTTAAAGGACCTGGGGCTCCAGTCGCAGGCGCAGCAGTGGCAGGGAGCCCCAGGCCCTCTAAGT